CCCTGCAGCGTCTCATGTCGCCTTCTTTCTTCCTGTTTTTCAGCTGTCACGACCGGAGGGGGGACTCGCAGCCTTTCCAGGTACCAGCCGAGCCCGGGTGGCGGGTGGGAAGGGGCCGGCGGGGGAAGGGAGGGCCTGCCTGCTACTCGAGCGCAGGCTTCAGAAGTCGCTGCAGGCCCTGCGCTGCAACAAACCCGAAACGGGCACCGTGAGCCTCCAGGAAAGGTGCTGTTGGACTCCATTAGCGTTGCCCAGTAAGGTTTAGCAACTTATTTTGACAAGTGGTTTGAAGAGCTTGAGTTTTTTGCTCTTTTTTGTTTTTAGGGAAAAAATTTCGCCTAGGAAGACCTGATTTTAGTTAAGTGGGAAGGAATTAAAAGGGAGGTAGGGATAGTTGTGTTTGGAGGCACGTTTATTTATTGTACCGCGGAAGTGACATTTCTTATTTAAGGTATTAAAATTAGGTCCGTGGCTCAGGAGAAACAGTAAGTGATTTGTAACTTTTTAAGTCCGTTGCAGGCTACTCTCTTGCCATTGTCGTTGTTTTGGGCAAGTAATTGCATTTTAAAAGAAAGATGATGCCTTTGTTTAAAAATTAAGAGCTGTGGATACTCGGTTAATTGATGCTAACGTAGTAATCTTACGTGCATTACTTATTGTAGTTGTAAGTAAAAATCCTAAAAAATAGAGAGGCACAAGTGATAACTATCAGATGACAACAGAAATGCATACTTTCTGCATCTGATCACTTAAGGGATAAAAGAGCAGGTTTCTGATCTGATAGTTTTGTCACTGCAGCATAAGTTGTAAAAGTTACAATTAAAAATCTTAGGTGCCCTGAAGTTAAAACAGTGCATTATTTGCATATGTCAAAGACTAAATGCTAATGAATCTACCCCAAAAATATACTCATTGTAAAGGACTGGTGTATCGCAGTTGTCTGAACATAAGTGTAGAATAAAACTAAACCATTATTTTGGAGGCAATTCATTGAGTTCTGTTATTTCTTCTTAGAAATATTGCTCATATTTGAGCATTATTTATTGGCTAGTGTTTTTTTATGGCTTAAAGTTCTGTTTTCCACACCTGCAAAAAGCTTAGGATTAAGAAATGCTTTATTTGAGTTAAAGAGATGGAGAGTCACCTGTTTTACAGTTTAGTGTAACATACATGTACACGTGCATGTCTAAAATAAGTTGTACAGCAAAAAATTTGTTAGAGTAGTCTCAAGCTGTTTTTTTTTTTTTTTTTTTTTAACTTTTCAAGCGGATTTCAGATATGCTGCAGAAATTTTGATTTCTTCTATTTGTAAAAAAATTAATGGCTTTTCTTTTTGTGGCCAAATTGAAAGTGAAGGTTTCTATTGATAAAAATTCATAAGTCAATGAAAATAATGCAGAAAAATGTATGATCAAATTAGGGAACAGAGTTTATAAAGTTTCAATTCTCTCTTTTTTGGGGGGGTGATGTTTTACAGGCACTTAAATATTCATCGAAGAGTCACCCCAGTAGTGGTGATCACAGACATGAAAAGATGCGAGACGCCGCAGATCCTTCACCACCAAATAAAATGTTGCGAAGATCTGATAGTCCTGAAAACAAATACAGTGACAGCACAGGTCACAATAAGGCCAAAAATGTGCATACTCACAGAGTTAGAGAGAGGGAAGGTGGTGAGTAGTTTTCTTGTTGAAATGGTTCCTATGTGTTGTTTTTGTTTTTGTTTTTTTAATGGTGGGTATGTGTAAGGCAACAGTAAAATTTCCAGCTTGAAGTTACTGTGTATTTGATTTGTGCATATGTTACTGTAAGAATAAGATGCTAACATGGGAAAAAACGATGCTAACGTGAGCATGGACTTCTAGAGCCTATAATATGAAATATTACATGTATTTATGAGTTTAGTTTACTAGTGTTTATTAATGGAAAAGATAGAGGACTTTTTAAACAGGCTTTTCAAAACATTTTCCAGGTTTAAGCCCTTTTGTGATCCAAAATATTTTTACGGTGACTTGAGCTCAGGACCTCAAGCAAGTAAATATTAAGACTGGATTTGCTGGTCTGAATAATAGGTTTTATTTCTGAAGCATATATTAAGGAGCAAACTAATTTCACCAAGGTGATTTAGGACATCTATATTTTATTTTACTTTAAAATTTCATAGTGTTTAAAGGACAGTTTGGGTAAATTACACAATATTAATTTAAAGCTTCAAAGGCAACTATGTTAGAGTATCATGCGACTTTGTTCCCTGTCACCGTCTAGCTTCTCAGTACTTGTCTTGCTGTTAAAACTACCCTGCCTGCATCTTGTGGTCTTGGTTTGTTTTTTGGGTTTTTTTTTTTTTTTTTTTTTGCCTTTTAGGACAATCTGCTTTACTTTATGAGCATATATTGAGAAACATTGGTCTCTTCTACATAATTAAGGGATTAAATTATTAATGGTCATGAGATTGCATTAGGATGGAGTAATTTGGATTAAATGGGAGGAAAGTAGTTCTTTGTTGAACATAGCTATCATTTTATAGTATGTGTGCATATGAACACTAAGAGTATCAGGTGGGTTTGGTTAGAAGTTATTTGGTAGCAAAATGAAACTAATATTGTTTTCATCATGTGTTAATTTTTCGTAGTGTTTGATAGAATTTGATACTGTTTATCATGTCTTCTATAATAAATTTCATTTTATTAGCTCTTGGATTGTAGGTACTAACTATACTGTACTGTTTCAGGTATTTTAAAAACAAATTTTAATAATTATGGCAAGATAGTATGTGGCAACACACCTCCTTTTAGAGAGGCTTAGATGTTTATATGTGTGCTGTTTTGTTTTGTTTGGTGGGAGGAGATGCAGAATCTCACTATGTCCTTCTGCCTCAGCCTTCTGAGTGCTGGGATTATAGGTCTTCTTCCATACACACACCCTCACTCACACTGCAGATCTTATTTAGTGACTGGCCAATCAGTGCAGTCCCAAAACTAGAAAGCAAGCAGTTTGCAAATCAAGGAAACTTTTCTGCAAATGCTTTCATCCACTTCCAATGAATCATACCCAGTGAGTTCTTTTGCAGGTGAAATAATACCAAGAACATTTATGTTGTTTGCTGGTTCAACAGACATTGGGCATCCACCATGTGTCAGTTTTTATCCTGGAAGTCAAGATAGATGATGCTTGTCCTTGAAGCCATCCATAAATGCTTTGACTTTTTATAGGTAGTGGTGGTTTAGGTGATTGCTTTATTTTTTTCAGTCATATATGAGCTCCATGTACTTGGTGACTTTCAGCTTTTTTTTTATTTTTATGTTTGTTGATAGTTTAAGATTTCATTGTGAGAAAGTTCTAATTTAAACGTTTAATAACTCACATTTTAATTTGTTTCTAGCAGCTGATCTACCTGTAGAGCCTTGCTCTAATACTGTAAACTATTTCTGTCTATATTATGTCTTACACCTAGCTTACATATTTCTTATGAAGGAATCATACTATTAAATATCACCATTGTGGACTTCAGACTACATTTTTCATTTTAATTTTCTTTAAAGATGTAAAGCGGTTTCTCCTTAATAATTGCTTAATCATAGTTTGACTTGAGATGTAGATAAATGTTTTTAATTACTGGTATGTATTTAAGCTTTTAGTGTACTTGTAATCTAATAACTATTAGATATGTGAAAGCCTACACACAGTTGATTTGTAACTTGGATCTTAAGAAACAAGCAGATGTATTTGTAAAATATGTTTTAAGCTTGTACTTTTCTGGTTTCGTAGTGTTTTTGTTTTCTGTCTTAGTATCTTGGATTTTGTGTTTTCAGAAATAATGTATAGAGGTAGTTAAAGATGCATTGTAAAACAGGGACTGATGATTGGTTTTGTGTTTTGTTTTGTTTTGAGACAGGATCTCATTGTGTAGTGCAGGCTGGCCTGAAACTCATCATCTTCCTGACTTGGCTTCCCAAGTGCTGGGCCCACAGGGGTGTGCCATCATGCCCAGCATGAGGATTGTTTACCCTTAACAATCTTTATGTTGAAGAAGATTTACTACAACTTAGCCTTTAGTTTTAGATTTTTAGAATTTATTCAAGGGAATATTAATTTTTTTATTATAAGCTAGAGGTTATGTGAAGCCATAGTTTTGAAAGTACCTTGGTGAAATTTTTGTATATGCTGATCTCTTTGTAACATACAGTGTTTTGTTTTGTTTTTTGGTTTTGGCAGAACCAGGGATTGATCTCAAGCCCTTTGGCAAGCACTTACTCCACTGACTTATCTCCCCGGCCCCAACATATAGTATATTGTTTAAAAATAATCAAAAGCAAAAATCTTATAGCTGGGTGTAATGGTGCATGCCTGAACACTAACGACTGAGGCAGGAAGATTGCCACAAGTTCAAGGCCAGTCTGTGCTCCATAGTAAGTTTTGGCAGACCGTGTCTTAAAAGAACAAAATATTTCTCACAGATCTCAAAAATATGAGCCCAGATAGAGAATGAATTTGTACTTTTACAGACCTTTTTTTTTACTTTGTATTTTGATTAAGTTCATTCAAAAAAGTCTTGAATTTCCTTAGTTCCTATTGTTTTAAAGACTAGAATTAAATAGCTTTACCAAGTAACGTGTGTGTGTGTGTGTGTGTGTGTGTGTG